GTATAGCAGAAGTGTGACCTGAGACTTAGAAGTTACATAGTTACATAATTAGTCTGGCTGAAAAGAGACAAAAGTCCATTCAGTTCAACCATCAAAAGTTATAATCCTATACCCACAGTTGATCCAGAGGAAGACAAAAAAACCCAGCAAAGCATGCTCCTGTAGGGAAAAAAATGCCTTCTTGATCCCCCAAGAGGCAATCGGATATTCCCAGGATCAACTTTACCTATAAATGTTAGGATCCAGTTATATTCTGTGTATCTAAGAAAGAATCCAGGCCTTTTTTTAAAGCAATCCACTCATCTGGCCAGAACCAACTCTTGATTCTTGAACTCTTGACATTTTCACAGCTCTCACTGTAAAGAAACCTTTCCGAGTTTGGAGATTAAATTTCTTTTCCTCCAGACTTAAAGCGTGCCCCCTTGTCCTCTGTGATGACCTCAGGGTGAATAGCTCTACACCGAGTTCACTATATGAACCACTGATGTATTTATACATGTTGAACATATCCCCCCTTAATCTCCTCTTCTCAAGAGAGAATAAATTCAGTTCCTCTAATCATTCCTCATATCTGAGCTCCTCCATGCCTCTTATCAGTTTGGTTGTCCTTCTCTGTACTTTCTCCAGTTCCACAATGTTCTTTTTGTGAATTGGTGCCCAAAATTGAAATGCATATTCCAGATGAGGTCTTACTAATGATTAGTACAGGAGTAGAATGATATCTCCCTCTCTGGAGTCTATACCTCTTTTAATACAGGAGAGGATTTTGCTCGTTTTAGAAACCGCAGCTTGGCATTGCATGCCATTATTAAAGTGGAGTTCCACTCACCCTGTCAAAAAAAAAAAAGTCAGCAGCTACAAAAACTGTAGCTGCTGACTTTTAAAACACAGTCACTTACCTGTCCCTTGATCTCGTGGTGTGTCCCCCGCAGGCCAGCATCTTCATTATGGGCACTAAGCTTGTGACAGCTTGCGGCTTCACAGCTGGGTACCCACTGTCCATGCGCGAGTAGCGCTGTGCTTCCTGAATGGCCCCGTCATCTTCTGGGACCTGTCACGTGTGCCAAAAGACTACAGGGAGGGAGGGAGGACACCTTTTGTTTCCGATCGCCTAGGCAATCAGACCAAAAGTGGGAGAGGGTACCTGTCAAATTCGGGTACCCGCTGCACCCCCAAAATATGCCAATCCTTAATGGGGAGAGGGGGAGCAGTCCTTAAAGTGGAACTTCCCCTTTTGGGTGCAGCTCCGCTTTAAGCTTGTGAACTATCAGATCTCCTAGATCCTTCTCCACCATTGATTCCCCCAGTAGTACTCCCCCTAGTATGTATGATGTATGAATATTCTTAGCCCCTAGTTGCATAACCTTACATTTATCAACATTAAACCTCATTTGCCACACAGTTGCCAAAATATGCTAAAACATTTTATTATTGCAGTCTCAGTTACAAACACTCACTTCATTACTTGGATAGACGTCACAGGGCAGGAAGTGAGTGAATATGAAAAAACCTGATAGAAATTGCCACTTTATCCAAACTAAAAAACGTTTTTTGGCACTTCATAGACAATTGTTATATCCAGACAGCTCCACATTTTAAACATTTTAAATTGTCCACAATGGCTATTTTAAAGCTTACAAGTAAATTACAGAACAAAGTCAATAATGCATTTTACTACCAAAGTTTATCATTTGAATGCATTGTTTACTTTTTTTTTGTCAGAGATGGGAGCTTAAATTATTATGTCTGTGAAAAGGTCACTGTTTTTTTTTTTTTTTTAACCAGCAGACAATAGCATAATTCAGTAAGAAGAGTTTTCGTTGTATGTGTTTCACACAAGTAGATAACACACTTCCATTTAATGCTATGGTATAGTGCATTGCTCAGCACTATACAGCAGAAAATTGATCCCATTTATGCAGTATTACACATCCTGAAGCAATGCAGATATAATAATTGCTTTGTTGTGCACCTTGATTATACCCTTCTAGCCAAAGATGCCTTATAAAATGCATGGAGTCTGACTTCTTCCTGCACAAGCGCATATTTTGCATGATTATGACCGCCAGCTAATTACCGCGCTCAAAGATTATCACACGTGCTGTGAATCTTTTACCGGGCAGCAATCCAAATGTACTATAGAGGAGATAAATCCAATCCGTTATTTTCCCACATGACTAAGAAAAACACCAGCCTTATTTCTTCATGAAAGGTTTAAAAGAATGAGAAAATATTTTGTCTAATAATGTGTGACATTTACATGCAGTGAAAGAGAGCAAGGCACAGTACAATTATTAATAGGATGGAAACTGTAGGCTTACATGTTGAAAACAAAGCAGTTTACAGCCGTAATGGTGCTTTACTGTACAGAGAAATATGGGAGCTGTCATTGCTGACTGCTTGTCTTGCTGTCTCTGGCTTCAGTGATTTCTGAGTGATTTCTGAGTAGTGATGAGTGAATCGGTCTGGATTCGGTTCGCAGGTGTATCTGAGAGCTCAGCCTGAAATTCACAAATTTCAAACATAACAGAAAAATAAATATCCTTACATAGGAAGTCACGTTAAAAAATAAGACACTAGCCCAACTGGATCAACCAATCAAAAACAAAACAAAGAAGAACAAACAGAAAAACCTCCAAGTACACAATCCTTTACCCACAGATAATCCACAGGAAGGCAACAGAACGAAATAAAGCATGATCCAATTTGTTCCAGTGTGGCAAAAAATGTTTTCCTTGATCGCTCAATTAGATATAGTCTTGATCAACTACCCCTGGTGTTATTACCTCTAAATTATTATTACAGGTACTTGTAATAGTACTCAACACTTTATATAAATATTGTACATTCACATCAGTCCCTGCCCTCAAGGAGCTTACCATCTAAAGTCCCTAACTCACATTCATACATACACATACATGGGCCAATTAATCTACCAACTTGTCCTTGGGAGGAAGCTGGAGTACCCAGAAGAAATGCAGGCACAGGGAGAACATGTAAACTCCAGGCAGGTAGTGCCATGGTTGGAATTCGAACCAACAACCACTAGTACAGCCAGGTGGAAGTGCTAACCACTCAGCCACTGTGCTGTCCCATTAGTAATTATATTTTGTGCATTTAAAGCGTTACAAAACCCACAACAGTAAAATCAGTCTGTATATGCATGCTAGTTATACTCACTGTGGAACCTAAGGGGTTAATCCTCTGCATTGTGTAAAAAGGCTGTTTGATCCTGACTTCTCTGATCCTCCCCTTCTTCCAGTGTTCCCCTCATATCTCCTGATAAGACATATCATGTGGAGTCAGTCTGAACATGCTTAGTTTGGTGTGTATTGCTAGAGATCAGCACAGGGCCAATCAACACTGTCCAGACATAGGTCAGGGGTTCTGCATCTTCGTAGAGCAGAATGAAAACTGCTCCTACAAACTTTAACCAGTGCTCGGCTGGATACTGATAGAAGTCACAAGACTGCTCTAACTGCTGATGACAAAAGGTATTGAGCAGTTTATATTTACTAAAATAATTGCATTTCCACGTTCTGTGTACTGTGGGAGACCAGATAGAGTGAATGCAGGGTCCTGGGTTTAGCAACACTTTAAGAATGTATCACGCTCTTTCTAAAATCAATCTACTGAGCTGGAAGAGCTCATACAATAAATCTTGTAATATTTTCTCTGGCCTTTATCAAGACCAATTTGCAAGTTTTTGGTAAAAAAAAAAGGCATGGGTAGCTGGTCACTGCCATTGGAGGCATTTACCAATTGAGTATAAAAAAAAAAAGAAACTACTCGTTTACCTAAAACTCCTATTTACAATTTAGTTACCACAGGTACAGCTAAATATAATTTAGTCATGGATTGAAGCTTATTCCTCCCTGAGTTCTTGAGCAGCTGAGGTTGATGTCTATCCATAATGGCGTTTCGACTATCGCTACCAATAAGTGAGAAATTTTATCGAGAATATCCAACCTTCTAAAGAGATGCTGCTCAGGAAGAGGTCCTTAGGAGGACAACTCAATGGATATATTTAAAGTGGTTGTAAAGGCTCAAGGCTTTTAACCTTCATACATTCTATGCATGAAGGTAAAAAAAACACCTGTGTGGAGCAATGCCCCCAACCCCCTCAATATTCACCTGAGCCTCATTGAGATCCAGCCTCGGCTATCCCTGGTCTCTGGCTCCTCATTGGCTGAGACAGGAAGCGGGAGCCATTGGCTCCCGCTGCTGTCAATCACAGCCAGTCAGCCAATGAGGAGAGAGAGGAGGCGGTGCCAAGAAGCTGTTTCATGTGTGAATGGACACAAGGAGCAGTGCGTGCCCCCATAGCAAGCTGCTTGCTGTGGAGGCACTTGACAGGAGAGAGGGGCCAGGGGAGCTTGAGGGGGACCCGAAAAGAGGTGGATCCAGGCTTCTCTGTGCAAAACCCCTGTACACAGCAGGTAAGTATAGACATGTTTGTTATTTAAAAAAAAAAAAACAAAACAGGGAGACTGCCTCCCACCAGAACACACTAAGCAGTGCTCGCAGCCATTGGTTCCTGCTGAACCGGGCGATATTCGGACCCAGTTTAACAAGCTCACACACTAACAGAGAAAAGTGCAGCAATCAATTATAAGCAATAATAGGGTACTGCAGTGCACTCTCTACTCTCTTAGGAGGGTAGTACTGCACTGCTTTTCCAATCACCCCACTACAATTGAATAACGAGCCTGTGCACATCCACAGCCAAACTCTCCTTTTTAAAGTGTTACTAAAACCAGGACCCTGCATCCACTCCCTGTGGTCTCCCACAGTACACAGAACATGGAAGTGCAATTATTTTAAGAAATATAAGCTGCTAAATACCTTTTCTCATCAGCAGTTAGAGCAGTTTTGTGACTTCTATCAGTGTCCAGCAGAGCCCTGGTTACAGCTTGTAGGAGGAGTTTTCATTCTCCTGTAGGAGTATGCAGGACCCTGACCTATGTCTGGACAGTGCTGATTGGCCCTGTGCTGATCACATGCACTCTCTCAAGAAAAAGAAAACTTTCTAGCAATGCACACCAAACTGAGCATGTGCAGCTTGCCCCCGAGCCTCCATTCTATTAGGAGATGTTTAGGAGACACTGGAAGAAGGGGAGGATCAGGGAAGACAGGATCAAACACCATTTTTACACAATGCAGGATTAACCCCTTAGGCTCCACAGTGAGTATAACAAGAATGCTTTACTGCATATACAAACTGATTTTACTGTTGGGGGTTTATTAACACTTTAGTTTTTCGATAGGGTAAGAAAGGGTTCATAGTGCTATCTGCGATGTGACTGTGATCAAGCACAGAAAACTCATATGATGGGTTTATGCATTGATAAAATATGCTGCTATTATCTATCATAATTAATTAACTTCTCTAAAGTTCATGCATGTGTGTTTGCGTACCTAGCCTTTATCAGTAATGTGTCTGTATAGTACATAACTATTGTTTTAGAAATATCAGTGTTGAAGACAGTTTTTTAATGTTCAAATCTGTTTTGTACAATTGAAAATACCTGAAGCTGAAATAAGCTCACAAGATCACAGCAAAGCCCTGGCAGCACTCACAGCTTAGGCGTCCATTTCATTAAAATGTCCAAGTTTTTCATTAAGAAAGCATCTCCTCTCCCCCTAGAGTCCATGTAATACGATTCTTGGAAAATAAACTAAATCTCAGCATAAGGTCCTTCATCCCATACATAAATTGTACACAAATTCCTAGCCTGAGAAAGAGATTCAAGATCTCCAGCACAATACCCTGCTACAGTTCATCTAAGGTCACCATTTAAAAAGAAAGCTTGCAATATCTTGATCTACAGCTATCAGTTTGGCTTTGACACATACACTATACAATATTTATATACAGTGCTCAGCATAAATGAGTACACCCCTTTTGAAAAGTAAGATTTTAATCAATATTGCAATTAACACAAAAACAATTTCCAAAATTTTGACAAAGATGAGTTCAATAGAACATTTGTTTAGCTCATTACATAAAAGTAAGGTTAATAATATAACTTATAGTACAAAATCTGCAGTTTTACCTAAATAGTTGATGCAAAAATGAATACACCTCACAAAAACTTCTACATCTACTATTTTGTATGACCTCCATGATTTGTAAGAACAGCACCAAGTCTTCTGGGCATGGAGTGAATACGTTGGTGACATATTGCAACATCTATCTTTTTCCATTCTTCTAGAACAATCTCTTTTAGAGCCTGGTTGCTGGATGGAGCGTGATGCTCAACTTGTCTCCTCAGAATCCCCCATAGGTGTTCGATTGGGTTCAGATCAGGAGACATACTTGGCCACTGAATCCCTTTCACCCTGTTCTTCAGAAATGCAACAGCAGCCTTAGATGTGTGTTTTGGATCATTGTCATGTTGGAAAAATGCATTACAACCAAGGGTACGCAGTGATGGTAGCACCTACTCTTTCAATATAGAGCAGTACATCTGTGAATTCATGATATCATCTATGAAATGCATCTCCCTGACACCAGCAATCCTCATGTATCAGTTCCAAAAACATTTATCTTGGTCACATCACTCCAGAGTACAGAGTCGCAGTAGTCTTCTTTTTCAGCATGGGCCCTGGCATATTCTAGGCGGGCTTTTTTGTGCATGGGCTTTAGGAGGGGCTTACACCCCTGCATGCCATTCCTCTGCCGTGCACACCATATTGTGTCACGGGAAACAATCACCCCAGTTTGTCTTTCTAGTTCTTTAGCTAACTGCAGTGAACCTTCATGGCGATTTTCTTCAACCCTTCTCATCAGAAGATGCTCCTGTCGAGGTGTTAACCTCTGTGGAAGGCCTGGACATCTCTGTTAGATGGTTGCAGTTCCATCTTTGTTAAATTTTTGTATCACTTTTGCTACTGTATTCTGACAGATAAGTAAAACTTTGCTGATCTTCTTGTAGCCTTCACCTTTCTTGTGTAAAGAAATTATTTTCTTTCTCAGGCTTGTGACATTTCTCTTCCATGTGGTGCCATTGCTGACAGCAACCCCCTTTAATAAACAACTTTCTGCTGGACACCTCTTTAACAAGAATTCAACTACAGGTGAGTCTAATTATTCATTAATTAGGATTTTGTTGTCTAAAATTTAGCTTTGCTCCTAAGACTTTTATTGTGCTGTATTCATTTTTGCAACATGGTCTTGAATGAATTTGTTAGGAAAAATAATTTGTGTGTGCAAATTAACAAATCTTGTTTGCAATCAATGGCCTGCATTTGTGGGAATATTTTGTAGTATAGTATCCCATGGAAAATGTTGATTCTAAAAGGAAAGTAAAAGGTTTTCTGACAAATCTGTTGGGGGTGTGCTTTGTACACTGATGAAAAGTCATGTTTGAACCGGTAGGGGCCATCCCCAAACTGTTCCCACAAAGTTGGAAGCATGAAATAGCCCAAAATGTCTGGGTTAGCTGAAAGCTAGTTTCCTTCACTGGAACTAAGGGGCTAAGCCCAACCCCCAAAAAAAGAGCCCCACACAATAACCCCCCCCCCCCACCAAACTTTACACTTGGCACAATGCTGTCAGGAAAGTATTGTTCTCCTGGCAATTGCCAAATCCAGACACGTCCATCAGATTGCCAGACAGAGAAGCGTGATTCATCTCTCCAGAGAGCACATCTCCACTGCTCTAGAGTCCAGTGGCGGATTGCTTTACCCCACTGCATCTAACGCTTTGCATTGAACATGGTGATTTAAGGCTTAAATGCAGCTGCTCGGCCATGGAAACCCATTCCATGTAGCTTTCTATGCATTGTTGTGCTAATCTGAAGTCCACATGAAGTTTGGAGGCCTTTAGCTATTGACTTTGCAGACAGTTGGTGACTTCTACGCACTGTGTGCTTCAGCATGCGCTGACCTCACTATTTTACGTGGCCTACCACTTCATGGCTGAGTTGCTGTTGTTTATAGTTGCTTCGATGTTGGTATAATAGAACTAAAAGTTAACCGTGGAATATTTAGTAGTGTAGCGCTATTTTTACACTCTTTGTGGCTACTGGGGTATGATGGCACCACCTGTATAGTATTTAGGAGCAGAGTCCTTATAATCTGTGTGATCAGGACAAGATCTCTAATCAAGCGCTAGTGCCTCCACTTAATTGGGGCTTGTGGATAGCAAGTGAAATCCCAAATGAGAAATGTATTGTCCTCATAGACAGTAATCCACACAGCATTGTATATGAAAGTCCATGTATTGAAGAAATCACATTCAGTGAACCATCCAACATAAAGTATCTTCCAAACAGGAACATTAAAGCATTAACAGTTTTCTTTTTTGCACGTCTCAGTGAGGGGAAGCTGCAACACTTACAGTCTGAGCTCTCTCTCTCTCAGCAGGAAAATCCACACCCCTCTCTTTTCCACAAGTGCTCCCTCTGATGACCTCATCCTCAGTGACCAGAGAGCATAGCAGCCATATTGGAAAAGGGCAAAACAAACACTGCATAAAACTATACACTGGAAAATGGGCAAATAAATTATCACATCACTACATTCTCCACCTGCTGAAAATCCTTCCGACCCAGCAAGGATATACACGTAAGACAACAACAAAACATAGCAAGTTAACATTGTTGTCGCCTTCTGCTGACCACTTCTCCAGAAGCATTCTATTACAGAGATTAGCTGCAAAGAAAACATGGTTAGTAATAAATAGGCATCATGCTAACCAGTCTAGAATGGGCTGTAATCATGTCCATCAGAACATGAGGCTGTACAGCATAGTTCTGCACAGCATAGCAGGGTCCTCCCAAGGTGTCATAAGTAAACATTGGTGGAGGTCCTCGAACATGATCTCCTCTCCTCAAGCCCTCAGGCATTAGTCCAGATAAATCTGAAAATAAGGAGAGAAACCAATTGACTCATGTCTGGTACAATTATAGGCATGTACCATAGCTCCAACATATTGGTTCAAGGTTTGTTTAGCACCATTAGTGAGGGTACCCAACATATGCAACAAGGTACGATTGAAACGTTCAGGGAGAGCATCACCCTCTAAATAATAAGGTGTGGTTTGGCTCTTGTCGATGTTAAGCAATGTTAACAGTTCTTTAATTAGGCGACTTTCAAAGTCCCATCCCTGGTCAGAGTGAAGTCGATTTGGCAGTCCATAATGAACAAAAAACTTCTCCCACAACACTTTGGCCACAGTTACTGCTGTTTGATCTTTGGTGGGATACTTTGAGCATATCGAGTGTAGTGATCAGTCACAATCAAAACATTTCCCACACCACTACTGTCATTATCAATACACAAAAAGTCCATGCACACTAAATCCATTGGACCAAAACTTTTCAAGTGTTCCATAGGAGCAGCTCAAGTAGGCAGAGTTTTCTGTTGCAGACATCTCACACAACGGCAGCAATAGTCCACAACAACTTCCCTCATTGGTGGCCAAAAGAAACGGTCTTGGATTAATCCATATGTTTTTTTAAATCCTAGATGCCCATGTTGGTCATGCAAACTTTTCTGTAGACTTGAGGGAGCACTAGCTGTCTCCTTCCAGGATGATCATGGAACAAATTATACCAAGCCAACTACAGGTAGACCAAGAAGAATTGCAGCCGCAACTGCCAGATAAATTGTTCGGAACACAAAGGGAAACCCATAGGTAACCACAAGAAAAATACAGGCTGCTCTGGAAAAAGACAGCTTGGTTGTTTTTGAAGGAGCACAATATGATGACACTTGAACAAAAATTAGCTGCATGGTCGAGGTGCCAGAAAGAGGCCTTTACTACATCAATGACACAAAAAAGCCTGGTCAGGCATGTAAACGTGTTGTCGGGCATATTGTAACCGGGCTTTTTTCTGGCATTGGTGCAGTAAAAGTTTCTTTCTGGCACCTTGACCATTGTTGTTCAAGTATAACCGTATTGTATTCCTTAAAAATAACCACACCAACTTTTTCCAGAGCAGCCTGTATTTCTTTTGAGGTTGCCTGTGGGTTTTTCTTTGAATCCCAGACAATTCTTCTGTCAGTTATGGCTGCAATCTTTCTTGGTCTACCTGACCTTGGCTTGGTATCAAGAGATCACCGAACTTTCCACTTCTTAATAGGTGATTTAACAGTGCTAATTGGCATATTCAAGGCTTTGGACATTTTTTATGTCCTTTTCCATCTTTATAAAGTTCCATTACCTTGTTACGCAGGACTTTTGACAGTTTTTTTTCTGATCCC